GACTTAACATGCTGTCACTCTGCTCTGTGTACTCTGCTTTGCATTGTCTGATGAAATAAGTGAGAGTCTCAAAAGATTTTATGATTTAATTTAAGGAGTATGTTGCCAGACTGGGGAGGTCACAGGGAAATTCCTAGACATTTAATGACTTGTTTAAAAAGGTGAGGGAAATTTTGGAAATGCAGCCGGAGATCATTATTGCTATTGTAATAAAAATAGAAGAATGTAAAATAAACCCTAACATTTTATGTGTGGGGAGTTAAAAGCTGAACTGTGGGTTGTCATGGATACAATGTTCAGTTTACTGGAGTGGTCTTTTCCTAGCCGCTAAACACCAGTATAAGTAACTCAGAGGAAAGCAGGATTTTATTCACAATGTTCCATAAGGCTTTAATATTTAGTTAGTTCAATTAAAGAAACCCCTGATGATTTTTTCTTCATTTAAAAAAAAAAAAAGCCTGACCTGATCCATTTTATCTATCTAACCTGCCTTTCCTACTACTAACACTTCAGACAACTCAGTTCGGACAGTATTTAAACTCGCCCATTTCAGGTCACAGTAATCTAGTTAGTGGTCTGCACGTGTGATGTGACAGGAATGCAAGAAAAGCTGTGTGCCAGGCCCCATTAATGCAAACTAGAAGGCTAGGCATCCCAACAGGGAAACCCCCCTGGGCAGCCTCAGAGCTGAGGCCCCACCCTCACACCTACTTGGAGTGGTAAGTTCAGGGGACACTCACACAAGAGCTGTCTGCTCTGCTGGTGGGAAGGGCCCCCAAACACTCCTCTTTGGGCAGGCCAGATTATACCCCCTCCCAGGGCTACCATTTCCTGGTTTTAGGTGGGCTGGCATCTGTCCTGGAGGAGGGAAGGCCAGCAAAGAGCTCTGCATGTTTGTAGGAGTGGGTGGAGACTGTTGACATCACCCCAGCAGAATCATGATGGACTGGAAGTAGCAAGGGCCAGACCCTCCCTAGCCTCAATCTTCTGCTGTGGAGGGATGGGCCTTCTAGAACAGGGGGGTTCAGCATTAATAACCCAGTAAGGTGAATAGCACAGTTCAGCCCTCTCAGAACTATTGTTCAGGCTGTTTGCAAACTCATGCAGACCTCACTGCATTGTTTATGCTCTGTTCATATTCTCCTCCACAACCACGAGGTCTAAAAAGATACATTTTTTAAAAGAGAGCTAAAATTCTGACATAATCACAGCACTCTAGGAGTTGAGGCCCTACACACGTGCCTATTGTGCCTATACCTTAATCCAGCACTTGCTTCAACTCTTTGGTTGAAGTGGGTAAGGCCTGGGAGGCAAACTCCATCCTTGAACTTGCAAAGCAGCTCTTCTATGGGCATTACTCCAACCTGTGAGCTGCTCTCCTGCACCAGTTGCAGGGGGAGTCCACTATGTCTAGTAGACCTTCCCTTCCCCTGTCCTGGCATACCTTCCTGATGACAAGTTCTACTAACAAGGAGGTGTGGTGACCTCCCCCCCACATGCAGCCCCTTCAACACTCATCTCCCCCAAACTCTGCAGAGAGCCTAAGCATACCCTCTTAACTGGGGTGAAATCTGTGCTGTCTGTGCTGAGAATTCCATATTACTAACAAAACTCAGGGCTGGGTAATCTTCTCAGAGGCAGCAGCATTTGCCACTGAGAACATCCATGGGTTGTGGATAGGAGAACAGCATTCATATATGAAGGCTAGGTGTGATATAAGCAGGGAGACCTGTTGAATAAGCAATCATGGACAATCTGATGCAGGTACTAACAGGGCATGGTGGAGCAGCAGATGAAACTGCTGCCCCTATAAAATAACCACAAAAGCCCAAAGATGGCATTGGACATGGTGAACATAGGCCACCATTAAATAAACTAGCAGCCAATCCTAACCACTTCCAGAAAGAATTCTGAAAAGACATATGAACCCTAAACAGTCAATGGCATTTACTCACAGAAGATAGTTGGGGGGTCAGTGTGAAACAGTACTCCCTAGTAACTCACCACCAGATGTGGAAATCTGCATAATTAAATCTGCAATGTAGCCTTGTAATCTGACTGGCAATCAGCATTGCCTTGTACCCAAGCAGGACAATGTAAAATAGACTAATGGGTGCAGTGATGTGGGTAACTGGTTATCCTGTATAATATCAGCTACTGGAAAATCACACAGTTCCTTGAGATCCTAGGTAAGAGAATAACATCTTTCTGTAGACACATTGCTTTCTAAGCACACAGCAACTTGATTCTGGAGCTCATATTATCAGTTAGGATTGCAGGCAAACCAGGAAGAGGAAGAAAGAGAGCCAGCTACATCACAAACTCTGTCACAATTGCAAAAGATGGAAGGTAGTGGTCAACAACTTCCCTATCAGACTTCTCACTTAAAGATGACTAACAAAACTATATTCCTAATTCCTCTAGTACGCAGAACCTGCCAACACCTTTAAAGTGTGTTTTTACTATATAAAGTGATTCTGTAAGAATAGCATCCTGGGGAACCATGTTTATTGTGGTTTGTGGATTCAATATAAAATAGATTCAATTTGTAAGGAGAAATACAAGTATTTTATTTCCTAACTGCCAGCACAGCAAACTGGAGTCTGCGAATCAAGCTGCTCAGTCATCATCACCAGTAATAAAGATTTTGCAGTTCCAGTTATGTCCTCAGAGATAACTGTGTGACTCCATAGTCTTCAAATGATTATCTCAATTATATTTAATTTATTTTCCTTCACTTTGTTTTATCTTATGCCATCATATTGCTTTTTTAAATTAGTTGTAGGTGTGTATATGCCTGTTGGAACAACTGCTACTTTATACCATATTATTCATTAAACACAAGAAAAGCATTTTAAAAGCTCAGTCCTGCAAGGTGCTGAACGTTCTGGCCCCAATCCTGCAATTTTGGAAGCAATCGTGCTTAACTTTAAGTGTGTGCATAGTCTCACTATAGTCAATGGATCTATTCAGATGATTCAAAACAGATGTATACTTAGGTGCTTTGCTGGATTGGGGCCAGAGTGCTAGGTCTCCCAAACTCAAGCCCACTCAACCCCCTAGGCTTGATCTCAAGTGGCTAGCCCAAGTAGTCACAAGAGACTCAATATCCACACTGCTATTTGAAGTGTGCTAGTAGCCCCATTAGCTTGAGTCTGGCTACCCAGGCTGGGGAGCTTGCTCCCAGCTGCAGTGTAGACATACTCACAGAGTCAAGCCCTTGCTTATAGGTTTACTTCTTCTTCAGTGGTCATTCTGTTGTGCAAAACAGCTAGTTCCTGTGAACTCTGTGAATCTTAATCCCAGCTGTTTTTGGATCAGTGGAAAAATTAATTTATGGTGTTACAAAATTGTTAACTGTGTGTATCCACATGATGGAGATCATGATGAGTTGGTTTTGAGTCACCATGGCCAGGATCCAAATCTCATTGGATTCAATGGGAATCCTTCCATTAACTTTGATGAGAGGTGGATCAGGCCCCATATATTGGTTATACATAGTGTTCCTTTACATTCATTTGCTGTATTAGGCCTTAGTTACAGCTGGTTTTGTAGTATTTGTTTTACTAGTGCCCAGCTCAGAATGCATTACTTGCTATAGTAAATTGTAACACAACTAGTATAGATTTTACTGTCATAATTATCCAGTAAGTCAGTGGGAAATATTTTACTACAGAATGGTAGCTTTTAAACACCCCTAAAACTATCCTTGAAGTACCCACATGTGCAACCTATAGAGCAGTGGTCCCCAATGCGGTGCCCGTGGGTGCCATGGCGCCCGCCAGGGCATCTATGTGCGCCAGCGTACTGGTCGGCGGCCGAGCATCCGCCGAAATGCCGCTGATGACACCTCTGGATGACGCTGCTTGTCGGTGGCATTTCGGCAGCCACGCCTATTGACATTGCTGCTGCTTGGCGGCATTTCAGCGGATGCTCGTCCGCCGGCCAGGGTCCGCAGTGGCTCGTCATCTGGCACCTGCCAGACAAAAAGGTTGGGGAACACTGCTATAGAGAGTGTGCCCTTTTCTCTCCTCCCATTTTTTCCAGGCTCAGTAGGGTTTGCACTCATATTTCATTAAGGTAGCTCTCATCAGTATGAAACTGACTTGCAGACCTTAGCTATAGATGAATGCAAGCAAAACCGATTGCACATCCTATTTTGGAGGAAGAAGGTGTGATAGAATAGAGATTATGACCCTCATACACCTCAACTCGGTTTAAGGGCCTGTGTGCTTTTCTGTGTCCTTCCTGCTTCTCCCACTGATTTCTGTTGCTTGTCACAATCCCCCTCCCGGCGCTCAGCCATTATGTAACAAGCACTGCCACACCCCGGGGACCTAGAGGGATTTCAGTCTCTTCCCATTGTCAATGAAAAGTCTCAGCCGCAAGTTGGACGCGCACGCTGCACTGGGGCTTCTGGGGCGGGTGGGCTTCAGCACCCCTGTCCGCGGACAGCTCCGTGCGCCGCGGGAGCCGAGGGGTGGGGAAGGAAGCGCAGCTCCCGCAAGGCTGCTCTCTGCTGGGGGAAGGAGCGGAAAAACTCCCTCCACTCCTCCAGGGTCTCATCGAGCCGGGGGCGGAGCGGAGCGGGACCCCGCCCCTCCCGGCGGCGGCTCTCCCAAAGAGGCTCTGTGATTTTAAATGCGCCGAGACCCGCCCCTTCGGGGTGGGGCGTGGGCGGGCCAGGCCGTCCGGGGCTGCCATATAACCCCACCTCTTGGGTGAGGACTGCGGCTATAATTGGCTGGATGTGGTATTTGGAGATGCTGAGCTGGCTCCTTCCCCCCATGTCCCTGCACACACACAGGGGTGGGTTGCGCGGGCGGCAGAGGGAGGCAGGGCTGGGTGGTGGCGGCGGCGGCGGCTCTGCCACTCCCTGCCTCCCTGCCTCGCTGTCCGAGCCGCTCTCGCTGCTGGGCTGCTGCCTGCGGCCGGGCGAGGCGGCGGAGCCGGGCGGCGGGGAGCGGGGGCTGCTGCTGCTGTCGGCGGCGGCGGGGATGATGGCGGAGGGCGGCGGCGGGGGGCCGCGGCGGAAGGCGCTGTCCCTGCTGGAGGCGGCCCGCTCCCGCTACGAGAGCCTGCAGATCTCGGACGACGTGTTCGGGGAGTCGGGCCAGGACAGCAGCGGGAACCCCTTCTACAGCACCTCGGCCGACTCCCGCTCCGCCTCCTCCCAGGACGAGGACGAGGAGCAGCTCGCGGCTGCGGAGGGGCCCGGCCCCCGGGGCCGGGGGCGCCGTGTCCCCAGGGCGGTGGCGGCGGAGCGGCAGCAGGTTCCCGGCGGCGGCGGCAGCCCCGGCCCCACGGAGGAGGAGGCGGAAGAGGAGGGGGGCTGGACCCCGACCCTGCGAGACGCCCCACCCCCAGACTTCAAGGATAGCTTCGGTAACAGGCGGGCTGGGGAGCGGGGTGGCGCCTGCAGGGGGGAACCCCCTCCCTCGCCTCGCCGGCTGGGGGTGGGGTGTCTGGGCTGCTGCCTGCGGGGAGAGCAGGGAGCAGAGGGACGGGGCTTTGCGGGTAATGCTCAAGGGGCGGCCCCGGCCGGCAAGCGAGAGACGCAGGGAAAGTCCCTGCCCCGGCGGGAAGGTTAATGTGGGGGCTGCAGCCTGAGGCTGAGGGGCGGGGGGGGGCGGGTGCAGCCGGAGGGCACGCTTGCAGTTTGGTCAGAGGCAGGGCAGCTGTCATTGCAGAGAGCCCCGATCGCTCAGCTCCTCGGAGCCCCCTCCCCCTGAAATCAGTGCTCCGCGCTTGGCCCCAGATGTCCCGACCACCAACTATAACTAGCGAGCGGGGTAACGGGCTTAGCAGTGTACGGGAGAAACAGGCTGACTTGCTCATCCCTGGCCTGGCGCCCGAAACCCCCGTAAGGGGAGGCTGGATCTGCAGGGCTAGTTTGAGAGAGCGCGGTCGGTCCGACCTCTGCCACCTGACTGCGCTTTGGCCTCTTTAAACAAATCGCTCCTAGGGCGGATGCTACTGAGCATGTTAGTCACTAGGGAGAGAACAACCCCTTCTCGGGAAGAGTGAGAGCTCGGTTCATCTGCACAAGAGCAGCAGCAGGGTAGGGCTGGCTGTTCAGTCGTTGCCTTTCAGGACGGAGTATATAAATATCTCTCCTGTGCACCGGCTGAAAGCTTTATTTGATTTCATTATGATAAAAGATAGCTCCCCTCTTTCAGGGTACTGGCATTTTTCATACCTTAGTCATTATAAGGCATGGCTTGTATTTATGCACTAACTGGATAATTGCCTGGACTTAGATGAAATGGTGTCTAACAAGACCCAAGGAGGGCAGGATGTGATTGATCATGAACACTTTGTCCATTTTCTTCTCCCCTGGTAATTTTGTGATCCTCAGAACAACAGGGCAGGTTATACAATGTACCCTTGGGAATCTCTGCTGCTTTGCTGGAGTTGGAAGCTGGAAATCCTGCTCAGCCTGTGTGTCCTAACATGTACATGGCCTATGATATTGGGATATGGGAATATTATTACACCCACTTTACAGATGGGAGAAGCTGTGGACCAGAATGATTAAGTGACTTGCTCTAGATCACACAAGAAGTCTGTGGCAGCTCTGGGAATAGAACTCTGCTCCCTAACTCTTGTCCTTACCACAAAGCCATCTTCAGCGCTACTCACCACCACACAGGTCTTTGATAAAGTAAATGTTGAGAGCTTACTGAAGTGATCTGATGTATTATGGCAATGCATGGTATGGAGATTTTAATAGAGTGATCTGTGTGAGATGTCATGTTATAGTGGTTTATAGGGAGCCATTCCAACATCAGTCCACGGCATTAATGATTATGTTGTGTATGTAGCAAGAAAAAGTCATGTAAAGAAAACTTGCAGAATGTGAAAAATACAGCAATCAAGTAGAGCTCACATATAAACCTATAATATATAGTATTCTGAGATGTTACATTACTCTACTACTAGTAGCTTGTCCAATTTTATATTTGCTAGCCCAACCCCACTGGTTTCTAATTCTTGATTGTCAGGCTTAATTCATTAATGTTGATGAGAAGTATCAGAGAAAAGTCTATAAATATCAAATAAATAAATGAAGATTCAAGAAAAAAAAAGTGCACTTCAACAAACCTCCGTCTACCACAGTGTGAATTAAAACAGAGCTAGAGGAAGTAATTTTTTTTTTTTAGCTAGTGTAAAAAGAACCCCAAACAAAGTTAAGCTCCAAATACTATATTACAATAACATTATTTTTGACTGACGTGTTAACTAACAAAAGCAAGAAAGGCTGCGGCTCCCCTGTCTAATCACTGTAAAATATTAATCACATATTAATATAAAACCCTTGTGGGTCTTTAAAGAGAACGCTAGTGGATATCCTGAATTCCTCTAATTCTCAAGCATATCTGAGGACACAATTTGGACCATACTTCTTATGGAGTTAAATAAGGATGAAATAACTTGCCATTTAATTTCGTTGCCTTTGCTAGTATATAAATTTGTGTAACTTTAAAGCAGTGAGATGCATTTAATATAGAGATGGGATTGACATTTTTATTGCTTCTTTGAAAAAAGAAAATTAAGTTGACCTATTAGCTCATGAGTTCAGATTTCCTTAGAAATGAAGGGGTTGATTTGTTTGAGACAGAAGTGAACACAGAAGTCTTTGGAGCAAGGAGAGTTGGTAATACAGAGACTGTTTCCACCTAGCAGTAGATTTGAGAGAGGTTTCTGCTGCTTCTTACTCTGTTTGTGGCATGATCTGCATACAGTATCTATAATAGTGATTAGCTTTGGCAAAAACTTGGTCGAATAAGAACATAAGAATGTCCATACTGGGCCAGACCAGTGGTCCATCTAGTCCAGTATCCTGTCTGCCAACAGTGGCTGGTGCCAGATACTTCAGAGGCAATGAACAAAACAGGGCACTGTCATCCAGACCCAGCTTCTGGCAGTCAGAGGTTTAGGGACACCCAGAGCATGGGGTTGCGTCCCTGACCATCTTGGCTAATAGCCATTGGTGGACCTATCCTCCAGGAACTCATCTAATTCTTTTTTGAACCCAGTTTATACTTTTGACCTTCACAACATCTCTTGGTAATGAGTTCCACAGGTTGACTGTGTAGTGTGAAGAAGTACTTCCTTATGTTTGTTTAAATCTGCTGCCTATTAATTACATTGGGTGACCCCTGATTCTCATGTTTCAGAGTAGCAGCCGTGTTAGTCTGTATCCGCAAAAAGAACAGGAGTACTTGTGGCATCTTAGAGACTAACAAATTTATTAGAGCATAAGCTTTCGTGGGCTACAACCGAAGAAGTGGGTTGTAGCCCACGAAAGCTTATGCTCTAATAAATTTGTTAGTCTCTAAGATGCCACAAGTACTCCTGTTCTTTGTCCTGATTCTCATGTTATGTGAAAGGGTAAATAACACTTCCCTATCACTGTCTCCATGCCATTCATGATTTTATATAACTTTATCATAACCTCCCGGCCAGTCATCTCTTTTCCAAGCTGAAAGGTCCCAGTCTTTTTAACCTCTCCTCATATGGAAGCTGTTCCATACTCCTAATAATTTTTGTTGCCATTCTCTGTATTTTTTTCCAATTCTGATATATCTTTTTTGAGATGCGATGACAAGAATTGCATGCAATGGGCATACCATGGATTTATGTAGTGGCATTATGATATTTATTGTCTTCTTATCTATCCCTTTCCTAATGGTTCCTAGCATTGTTAGCTTTTTTGACTGCTGCTGCACATTGAGTGGATGTTTTCAGAGAACTAGCCACAATGACCCCAAGATCTTTCTTGAGTGGTAACAGCTAATTTAGACCCCATCATTTTGTATGTATAGTTGGAATTATGTTTTCCAATGTGCATTACTTTGCATTTATCAACAGTGAATTTCATCTGCCACTTTCTTGCCCAGTCACCTAGTTTTGTGAGATCCCTTTGCAACTCTTCACAGTCACCTTTGGACTTAACTATATTGAGTAATTTTGTATCATCTGCAGACTTTGTCAACTCCCTATTTACCTTTTTCCAGATCATTTATGAATATGTTAAACAGCACTGGTCCCAGTACAGATCCTTGTGGGATCTTGCTATTTACTTCTCTCTGCCGTGAAAACTGATCCTTTATTCCTACCCTTTGTTTCATATCTTTTAAGCAGGGACTGATCCAAGAGGCTGCCCATGACTGCCTATTTTGTTTAAGAGCCTTGGTGAGAAACCTTGTCAAAGGCTTTCTGAAAGTCCAAGTACACTATATCTACTGGATCAGTGGTTCTCAACCAGTGGTCTGCAGCCCCCTGGAGGTCTGCGAGCCCTTTCAGGGGGGCCACAAGACCCCGTGGCTGAAACCCAGTGCCCCCCATGGGCTGAAGCCAGGCGCTGTGGGGCTGAAGCCCTGATTCCTGATACCCCCGTGTGGGGCTGAAGCCCTGATCCCCAGCGCCCCATGTGGGACTGAAGCTGCGAGCGGTTGGGCTGAATCCCAGGGCCCCGAGCCCTGGTGCTCTCCATGGTGGGGCAGAAACCCTGAGCCCATGGGCAGAGTTGGGAGGCACAGGGGGCATTGTTCCCCCCCAAACTACAGTGCAAGGCCAGGGGGCAGCTCCACACACTCCCACATCCTTCTTTCCCTGTGACTTGGCCAGGTCAGAGGTGGGAAGCCGGAGCTGGGCAGTGCGGAGCAGCTGCTGCTCTGGCTGGTGCCATGGAGCAGGCAGCCGGGGTGTTCCCTCGTCTCCTGCTGGTGCCTGGGGTTGAAGCTGCTCCTCAGCTCCCAGCCCCTTAGCTCATGCAGCTGGTAAGAGCCACCGGGGAAGGGGGACCCAGGTCCATGGCTGGCAGAGCCCTCCTGGAACAGGGACTGCAGGGGCACCCTCCCGGCACACAGCCCCTAGCTACCCCTCTCCCTGCACCCTGAGCTACCCCCTGTGCCTGCACACAGCCCCTAGCTACTGCTCTCCCTGCACCCTGAGCTACCACCCCACCTGCACACAGCCCATAGCTACCCTCTCCCTGCACCCTGAGCTACCCCCTGCCTGCACACAGCCCCTAGCTACCCTTTTCCCTGCACCCTGAGCTACCCCTGTGCCTGCACATAGCCCCAGCTACTCCCCTCCCTGCACCCTATGCTACCCCCTTACCCACACACAGCCCCTAGCTACCTGTCTCCTTGCACCCTGAGCTATTTTCAAACTTTTTGTGCTGAGCCCCGCCCTCCCCCTTGGAGTTATAATTTTTGTTTGTACTCCCCACAACCCAGTCTGTCTGGGTTGTGGGGAATCGGAGTGGAGGTGGTGCGGAAGCCGTTCCATACCCCTAATAATTTTTGTTGCCCTTTTCTGAACCTTTTCCAATTCCAATATATCTTTTTTGAGATAGGGCGACCACATCTGCATGC